CCTGCCATACCATTGAATTGCATCCCCAGTGTAACTTTCATTTTCATAAACCTTCCAAATTAAAGCAACTTAATATGACAAAAGGAAATCCGAAATCAGTCCTGGTTTTAAGAACAAATCCAGTTGTGCACACAATTCCCAACTATCATTCATAATTTGAGACTAGGAAAAAGTTTCATTCCTGACATACACTGTGATTTGAAAGTCAACAGAAAAGTGGAGGACAAGTTTTGGACAACCTAATAATATTAATTATATGTTACACTTAACTAAAAACTGAGCTTTAAAGATCTAAATTCTAGCCCTGGTTCCATTTTTTGGTTTTATGCAAGTTGCTGTGTTAACTACCTTGCAAAATTAACTATACAAATATACTAATAATGTTTAATACTTACAGCACTTACATGTCAAGAATTATTCTCAGTGCTTTCTGCATTATTAAATATATTACCTTACATAACTTCTCAATGTATATAATCCTCATTTCATAAAGGGAGAACTAGAAGCAGAATTATTTTGATGAAGGAGAGCCTGGATTTAACAGAACTGTTAAATTACATTTGAAAACAATTTTAAAAAGAAAAAATATGCAGAATGCTGAAATTCTAATAATGACAACAAAAACTTTACAAGTCTGAGTTTTGTGCCTAATTTATGACCCTTGATAAATGTCCTTTATCAATCAACAGGAGATACCATGTAAACAGAACTTAAAGTCAAAAAATATCTGAAAGAATTCACCCAAGTGTAGCAAGTAAAGATGTATCCCCACTTTCACCCAAAAATTTAGCATGGGCTCTTCTGGTGGTCAGAGTATGATCTATCCTAAACATAAGTGTTGAAATTTGACAACTTAGTTATGACAAAATGTCACACTTTAGGATACTTGATTCTTCTAATCCATGTTGAACTGAATCGGTTTGGTTACTCTATTAAGGGCAGTAAGCACGTGCGAGTGAGTTTGAGTGGATGTAATCCGGTGATTCAACAGAGAATTTACCTGACAATGAAAAGATTTCCCTAACTCGGCAAATTCCAATCTTCAGGAAATTTCACCTGGATTTACATCATATTCACCAAGTCAAGCTACTACATTTTAACTCCAAATGCTAATGAAGAATTCAAGATGAGACAGGGACTAAAAAGAGGGAGCCGAGCAGAAGTTAAACGTAAGAAACTCTGAAAGGCTGAGAATGAAAAGGAGATTGGGAAAGTCCAGAGTTTAGAGCGTAAGCGCCCTGTTAGCCAAACGCGTGAGAGAACACGTGTTGAGCCGGCACCCAGGAGGATGGGGTCCCGGAAACAAGAAAACAGACTTGTTCATTACAACTGTCCAAGAAAAACCAATACTACTGAGTCTGCAATAGGAATGAGCAGTATAGTTCCAAGATGGGGCTCTGTCAAAAGCCAGGGCTCTGATGAGCGCATGCGGATGAGTGGGGCCTGGCTGAAGGAAGCCACCCCTGGGGGGTCAGGGGCCTTGGCGAACATGGCGGCCCAGCGACAGTGGGACGCAGACCGCATGGAGCCCGCCGGATCGAACCGCGCCCTCTCACTGCCCTCCCGACAGGCCGTACACAGGCGGCGAGGTAGCCCAGTGCCCGCCGCCACAGTGCTCAGTGCCTCCCTGCCCTGAGGCAGCGAGGGCCCAGAAGGGTGCGGGGCCGCGGGTCGCCCTACCCGGGGGCGCCAAATCCTGATCGGAACAAGCGCCCTCCCCCACCGCGGTCCCGCTCGCACTACCTTGGCCTGCAGCCGCGCTGGCGCCCAGGCCAGGCAGGTGCAGGTACCGCTGAGGTGCGCGGAAGGCACGTACTCCTGATGCAGTCGGTTGTTGGCTGTCTCCCACACTCTCAGGTGACCGTCGGTAGAGGCCAAAGCGAAGTAGGCCTGTCTGTCAGGGGAGAAGGCGCAGGGGACCCCCGCAGGGGCCAGAGGGTCGCAGCTACCGCCACCACCCGCCGCCATTGCTGTTCTGGGTCCGCGGCAGCCACGTGTTCGTCCGTGCGCAGGCGCACCGGCGCGGGGCGGATCCTAAAGAGAGGAAGTGGGGCGGAGGGAGTGCCGAGAACTGTGGGCGTGGCTCGTCACGACGCAGGCGAGCGTTGGGCGGGTCTACCCTGTGGACGGTGGCCGGGTAGGACCTAGGGCTAACGTTCGGGAGCGTAAGTGTGTGAAAGGAAGTGGCTATCCATAGCATGCAGAGCAAGACCCATTACTTTTAAAACTTTTATAAAATGGTTGAACGAAATGTTTAAAAGAAACATTTATCTATAACTCCGTGATTGTGACAACTGTTTTCATTTTCCCCTATTCATTTCCAGGCTATAGTTAAGAACACAGTAATAATTTCTTCTGTCATAGTAGTGTAAAAGTCATGGCATGAGCAGCTACTTCCTCTTATTTCGTTGAGAGTCAACCCGTGTTGCAAATAGTCAAAAAAATTTTATTTATTTATTTTTTTTTCAGTTTTCGGCGGACACAACATCTTTCTATGTGGTGCTGAGGATTGAACCCAGGCCACACGCATGCCAGGCAAGCGCGCTACCGCTTGAGCCACATCCCCAGCCCAAAATATTTAAAAATTTCTTTTTTAATGTTTCTTTACTGTTTCACCAAATCAATGCATCCAATTCGAGAAACGCCAGGTACAGGAGTAGAGTATAGTGGTACAGGACTTGCCTAACTTGAGTGAGGGCCTGGATTTAATCCCCAGCACTGCGCGGCGGGGGGCGGGGTGTGTTGGTGGGCGAGTCAGGTACTGTTTGGCCCACTCAGAGCTTATTGTCTTGCAGTCAAGGCAAAGGACAGTGGTAGGTAGGGCTCTGATAAAAGCAATGAAGCTGATGAAAAGTAGTCAGATTCCAAATGTAATCTGAAGTTAGAGTCAAAAGGACTTGCTAAATGGATTGGTGTGACGGGTGAGGGAAAGAAATGGGTAAAGAATGATTTTAAAATCGGAGCAAGGGCTGGGGATGTAGTCCACTGGTAGAGCATTTACTTACCTACCTTAGATGAAGCCTCAGTTAATCTCCAGCACCACAAAAAGAAAAAAAAAAAAACTGGACAAATAAGTGAAAGGTTTTGCGAATAAGAGAAAAGATCACAGAAATATAAATTTTGACTGCATTAGAATACTGATACTATTCAAAACCTTGGGACTGGAAAGGTCATGTTCAATGTGAATAAAAAAGTGAACTTAGTCCCAAGCTAAGAAGTCAGGAAGAGGAAGAACATCCAGAAAAGTAGATTGAGAAAGGATGACAATAAAGAGAGATGAAAAGCCTAAGAGAATTAAGAATCTCTTAGGAAAATAATTTTTGTTTTCCCTAAAAAACAAATTTTTATGATAATTTCAGAAGCAAAACATGATAAAACCATGTCAGATACTGTAATATAAACATTAAATTAACCAGTGATCTTGGCAAGATCAAGATCATTGGTAATTTTTTAAGAATTTTTGTTTAAAGAGAGAGAGTGAAAGCGAGAGCAGATGTGAGTCTACATAAAAAAGGTCTGGATGGGGGGGGGCTAGGGATATAGCTCAGGGGGTAGGGTGCTTGGCTTGCATGCACAAAGTGCTGCATTCAATCCCCAGCACCAAAAAAAAAAAAAAAAAAAGTCTGGGTGCATGGCATGTGCCTATGAATCCAGCCACTTTAAGGTTGAAGCAGGAGAATTGCAAGTTCAAGGCCAGCCTGAGCAATTTAGTGAGACCCTGTCCCAAAATAAAATAGAAAGGACTGGGGCTGAAGCTCAGTGATAGAGCACTTGCCTAGTATGCACAAGACCCTGGGTTTGATGTCCAGAACCAGAAAATAAAAATAAGAGCTTATTTTACATTTGCTATATGTTAGGCAGTGTTCTAAGTAATTTATGTGTATTGATTCACTTGGTCCTCACAATAGCACCACAATGTAGAAACTATCAATATCTCCCTCCATTAGAAAAGTAAAGAAACTGGGAAAGGATGAGCTGGATTTCTAACCAAGTTATCTTTGGACACTGACTACCTTACCTGATGAGTGCACGTAGGGTTCACATAAATGACCCTTCCACATCCAATCAAATCAATTCCTAGACTGCTCCCCTTCAGTGGTCTTCATTTCTACTCTGCATGAGCTACTCACTCTAATGGTCATATCTCTAACCTTGTCATTATGATAACTGAACCACCTTCATAATCTCAGTTTCCACACCCTGCTCTCTTACTGACATCCCTCCTATTTCCAGCTCACTCATTCTGGTTTACATATTACAGCCAATATTTATATCACCAACCCCATAATTTTCTCATCAACCCTCATACCTTCTCCCTTCATTTTTAAGTTGTATCATTGTAACCTTCAAACCCCTTGCCTCTTTCTTATATTACATTCCTTCCTTGGTAAAACTGCAAGCCTAACAAAATCTTACTCTCTACCCACAAACACCTGAAAATGACTAGAGATAAGCCACAGCCACTCTAATGTGATACTTAGCCACTTTAAATTCATGATTCAAAATATTGGACCCCAGTCCAGTCCCTTCAACGTTCCAAGACACTTAAGTCTTATCTTCTAACACCTCAAACCTCCTAATCCATCTTTGCTCTGGGTAGATGACTTTGCTTCCTATTTCTTAGGAAAATAGAAGCAATCACAAAATAATTTCCACAAGCTACCAGTACCTGCATCCCTACCCACCTACATTCCATCTCTTCTGGTACTATGGATAAACTATCCATGTTCCTGCCAAAGACCACCCCTCCACTTAAGTTCTAGATTCTATCTCCTCTTTCCTATTCAAATATGTTACTACAAAAAAGTCTTTTCTCTCCCTGCTGGCATCAACTTTTACCTCTCAATTTCCTCCTCATAAACATATATACATGCTATTATTCCCCCTCTCCCCCAGGTACCAGGGATTGAGTCCATCAGTATTTTACCATTGAGCTACATTCCTTCCCCTTTTTTATTTTGAGACAAGGTCTCACTAAGTTACCTAGGCTGGCCTTGAATTTTCTGTTCCCCACAACAGGTTCAGGGAATCAAACCCAGTGCTTCTAGTATACTAGGCAAGTATTCAACCACTAAGCTACATCCTCAGTCCATTCCTTCCTTAATAATACTTAGACATCTGGCTTTAAATACCATCCATATGCTGATGATCCCAAATGTATAACTCTAGCCTGGGTCTTTTCTCTGAATTCCAAATGTGCACAACTTGCATATTGAATTCCCTATTCAACATCTGTGCATGGATGTTGTGGTAGGTTGAATTGTGTTCCACCCAGAAAAAGATATATCCAAGTAAATGTTTGGAAATAGGTCTTTGCAAATATAATTTGGTTAAGAATCTCAAAATGATTATTCTAGATTTAGGGTGAGCCCTAAATCTAATGACTGGTATCCTTCTAAAAAAAAAGACACAGAGACACACACAGAGATAGAACACAGAGGGAAAAAAGAAAGAAAGTTACAGGAGACAGAGGCAAAAGCCAAGGAATGCTGAAAGAAACAAAGAATTCTCCCTGGGGCTGGGGATGTAACTTGGTGTAAAGCACTTAACTAGCATTAGTATGGCTCTGGGATTAATCCCCAGCATGGCAAAATAAAAATAAAAAATGAAGAATTCTTCCCTAGAGGCTTTGGAGGGAGCCTGGTCCTGCCAATACTTTGCTTCTGCACTTCCCACCTCCAGGACTGTGTGAGAATACCCATCCATTGTTTTAAGCCACTATGTTTATAGTAATTTGTTGCAGCAGCCCAGGAAACTAATACAGATTTCTTTTTATTTATTTATTTATTTACCAGGGATTGAACTCAGAGGCACTTGACTACTGAGCCACATCCCCAGCCCATTTGGGGTTTTATTTAGATACAGGGTATCACGGAATTGCTTAGTGTCTCACCTTTGCTGAGGCTGGCCCTTGAACTTGTGATTCTCCTGTCTCAGTCTCCCAAGCCACTGGGATTACAGGCATGGTACACCTGCTTGGACCACTAATACAGATTTCCAACAGACCTCTCAAAGTTAACATATCCAAAACAAACTCCCAACTTCAGAAATTTTTT